ACTCTGAGGAAACTCCTTCACAGCACATTGCCTTCACACAAAGCTGAGCCCACTGACTCCACATTAGGGACACAAGGCTTCACAAGCTAGTTTTCTGGTTTATTATTGGGTCAGAAGTATGAGTATTCTGGAACACTTAATTGTGCTCATAAGAAACCTGTACATAGACCAAGAGGCAGTTGTTCAAACAGAAGGGAACACAGACCGAATGGTTTAAAATTAGGAAAGGTGTGCACCAGGGTTGTATCTTTCACCATATTACTCAATCTGTATGCTGAGCAAATAATCCGAGAAACTGGATTATTGTTGTTGTTGTTGTTAGGTGCCATCGAGTCGGCACTGACTCATAGCAACCCTATGCACAGCAGACCGAAATACTGCCCTATCCTGAGCCAACCTCACTACTGTTGCCATGCTTGAGTCCATATATGCCGCCACCTGCCAATCCATCTCACTTGGATCTTCCTCTTTTTCTCTGACCCTTACCAAACATGATCTCCTTCTCCAGCGACTGGTCCCTTCTGACACTATGTCTGAAGTATGAGAGACGAAGCTTGGCCATCCTGGCTCCAAAGAGCACTCTGGCTGAACTTCTTCCAAAACAGATCTATTGGTTCTTTTGGCAGTTCATGGCACTTTCAATATTCTCCTTCAATACCATAACTCAAAAGCATCAATTCTTTCTACAGTCTTCCTTATTCACTGTCCAGCTTTCGCATGCATATGAGGTTATTGAAAATACCATGGCTTGGGTCAGGTGCACCTTAGTCGTCAAGCTGACATCTTTGCTCGTCAACACTTTCAAAAGGTCTTGTGCAGCAGATTTGCCTAGTGCAATACGTCATTTGATTTCCTTGACCGCCGCTTCCGTGAGTGTTGATAGTTGATCCAAGAAGAATGAAGTCCTTGACAACTTCAATCTTTTCTCCCTTGATAAGAATGTTGTTTATTGGCCCAGTGGTGAGGATTTTTGTTTTCTTTACATTGAGATGTAATCCATACCGAAGGCTGTGCGCTTTGATCTTCATCAGTAAATGTTTTAAGTCCTCTTCACTTTCAGCAAGCCAGGTTGCATCATCTGCCTATCGCAGGTTGTTAATGAGTCTTCTTCCAATCCTGATGCCTCGTTTTTCTTCATAGAACCCAGCTTCTTGGATGATTTGCTCAGCATACAGGTTGAATAAGTATGGTGAAAGAATACAACCTTGTCGCACACCTTTCTTCATTTTAAACCATTCAGTGTTCCCATGTTCTGTTCCAACAATTGTCTCTTGGTCCATGTACAGATTCCTCATGAGCACAATTAAGTGTTCCAGAATACTCATACTTCACAATGTTGTCCATAGCTTGTCATGATCCACACAATCGAAAGCCTTTACGTAGTCAATAAAGCACAGGTAAACATTTTTCTGGTATTCTCTGCTTTCAGCCAAGATCCATCAGACATCAGCAATGATATCCCTCGTTCCACAGCCTCTTCTGAATCTGGCTTGAAAAAACTGGATTATATAAAGAAAAATGTGGCATCAGGATTAGAGGAAGGCTCATTAACAACCTGTGATATGCAGATGATACAACCTTGCTTGCTGAAAACGAAGAGGACTTAAAAATACTGATAAAAATCAAAGACCACAGTCTTCGGTATGGATTGCATCTCAATGCAAAGAAAACAAAAATCCTTACCACTGGACCAATAAACAACATTCTTATCAATGAAGAAATGATTGAAGTTGTCAAAGACTTCATTTTGCTTGGATCCACCATCAACACTCATGGAAGCAGCAGCCAAGAAATCAAAGAACGTAGTGCATTAGGCAAATCTGAAGCACAAGACCTTTTTAAAGTGTTGAAGAGCAAAGATGTCAATATGAGGACTAATTTGTGCCTGACCCAAGCTATGGTATTTTCAATAACCTCATATGTATGTGAAATTTGGGCAGTGAATAAGGAAGACTGTAGAAGAATTGTTGCATTTGAGTTATGGTGTTGGAGGAGAATATTGAAAGTGCCATGGGCTGCCGAAAGAACAAATAGATCCATGTTGGAAGAAGTGCAGCCAGAGTGCTCCTTGGAGGCCAGGATGGCCAGACTTTGTCTCTCATACTTTGGACATATTGTTAGGACAGACCAGTCACTGGAGAAGGATATCATGTTTGGTAAGGTGGAGGGTCAGAGAAAAAGAGAAAGACCCCCAGCGAGATGAATTGGCACAGTGGCAGCATCAATAGGCTCAAACGTAGCAATGATTGTGAGGTTGGCCCAGGACCAGGAAGTGTTTCGTTCTGTTGTGCATAGGGTTGCTGAGTCAGTACCAACTCGATGGCACCTAACAACAACTACTGGGTCCGAATTAGAAGAGAAATCTATAAGAAAGGAGTTGCATGGGAGTGAAAACAACCAAGGCTACAGAATCAGTAAATATGTTTTTAATAAGGCATATATAGGTCATATCCTTTATCTGTAAAGGTTAATTTGAAGGATCAGGAATACTTATTTATGGTGGTCCTTTCTAACCTATGTTTTCTGGATTGAATCAGGGTATCCATTAACTTCTTTAAATTGTGTAGAAAGTTGTGGGTGAGTTCATTTTTAACTATGTTGTTAAGTGCTGTCAAGTGGGTTCTGACTCACAGCAACCCTGCATAGGGTTTCTGAGGAGTGGCTGGTGGGTTTGAACCATGGACTTTGCTGTTAGCAGTCCATTGCTTATCCTACAGTGTCACACCAGTAGGGTAGAATATGGGAGAAGGTTGCCCCTGTAATTTTCACCAGATTCTTCGAAAGGAATGAAAATAAAAAGGATTAAGAAGTAGTGAATCGTGTAAGAACGCATCAAGCCAGAGAAGTGCATTAATTTGAACTTGAGCTGGGGCTGTGAGGCTCAGCCTACAAAGCTGGTTATTAAATTGCAGTTAAATTTAGAGATGTGATAAAGCTGGGAGGCTCTGAGAACAGAATGGAACCAGCTACTTTTTTCTGTTGGAATAAACCTTCACTATATTCCTGCTACAGCCTAAAGTAAAGTTAGCTACAAAGTCAGAGGTAGCTTCAGGCTAGCCTCTGTTTTCTTTTCCAAGGTACCTCAAACCAATTTCCATTCAAGCCCCAAAGTTAAAAATACCTCATTTGCCAGTCAGCTAGAGGAATAAGCAGCTGCTTTGGTCAGCACAAAAATCTTCAAAGTGGGAACAGATTCAACTCCCTTCTCACAGCTGAGCCAAATTCTGGGGATTAAAGGAATCAACTGTTGAAGGTTTGGAGTGAACGGAGTTAGGAGACCTCAGGAAAGAGGTGAAGGAAAGGTGGGTGATCTGTTCTGTCATTAAGGGTGTAATAAATACATCAGTCTTTAAAAAGCAAATCAAAAGCTTGTTTTAATAGCAAAAGCTTACTCTGGCATTCTATATGAAATGCTACCAATTTAGTTAAGCAATCTCTGGTTCATAATTTTAATGAATGGTCACTTTTGGACGGGGGTCGTGGTGTGTGTATGTGTAAATATACAGCAAAACTTGCTCCCATTCCACTATTTCTAGACATAATATCCCAATTTTTATTGTGTGTTTCTGACTTCAAGCCTGTAAACAAAGGTTAGTGTATAATATAAGCCCAAACTAAGAATTTCATACATTAAAGATAATAAATAGTAGGTAAAAATGCTTTTTCTAAAATGCCTTGTTCCATTTCTTAGGACTGACCACTTAAGAGTTGTATGTACCTTTGCAGAAAATATGTATGCCCTTTTAAAAAAACCATTCACAATGAGGTCACAACTATCTATCATCTAGCTAGCTAGCTAGCTAGCTATAATTAGACCTCTGATCAGATAATCCACTTCTTTTCACTGACTACAGAGTATCAATTGTATGGCTGTGTTGTTATTTTATGAATCTGTCATCTGGAATATTTATATCCATTCCATTTGGAGGCTACTACCATCAGACAGGTCTGGTAGCGTAGTGGTTACGAGTTGGGCTGCTAACCTCAAGGTCAGCAGTTCGAAACTACCAGCGGTTCCGTGGGAGAAAGATGAGGCATTCTGTTCCCGTAAACATTACAGCCTCGGAAACTCTGTACAGGGTCACTATGAGTTGGAACCGACTCCACGGTACCTACCAACAACAACCATCAGACCATCATGCCGGCATCCTGCCGGAATCTGGAGTGGCACTGTAGGATAAGCACTGGACCACAAGGTTGGTTTGAACTGCAAGGTGAGCAGTTCAAGTCCACCAGTCCCTCCTTGAAAACCCTGTGCAGAGTTGCTATGAGTCAGCACCAACTCGATGACACTTAATAATGATGACCACCAACCAGGTCACCCTTGTACACATGTCACGGCATGTTTGTGTGAGTTCTCCACAAAGTAAATTCCTAGTGGTCGACTTTCTGGTCAGAAGCTTAAGTGCTTTTGAAATTTTGTAGATTATAATCACCAAATTGGTTCTGAAAAGGTTGTACCAATTTATACTGCCACCAACAATGTATGACAGTGCCTGTTTCCCCCATCCTCACCTAATTTGCCAGACTAATAGTTAAAGAAGGTGCCCTGGCTAAACATTCAGCTGCTAATCAAAAGGCCAAGAGGTTCATCCTGTGGGAAAAAGATGTGCCTGCTTCTGTAAAGATGACAGTATGGGGCATTTGTACCCTGTCCTATAGATTCACTAGGAGTCAGAATTCACTTCTCAACAAAGTGCTTGGTTTGTTTAAACAGGTTAAAAGTTTCTTTTATTGTTTGGATTTCTTTTATTATGCATTAGGAAGAACATAGAGTTATTTTTAAATAAATACTTGTTGGTTGATGTGTATCTTAAAAATCAAAGATTCAATTTATTTTCATTTGAGTACTTGCATTATCCATTTCATATAATTTTTGGTGTTTTTTTTTTTTTCGGGTAAGTCATCTTCCTAAATTGTGTAAATTTTTTTTTTTTTAAAGAAAATTTTCTTTGCGTTTTCTTTCTTTTCTAATCGTTGGTTGCCTGGGGCTGAACGGGTTAATATTTCAGCTGATTTCTCCGTTTTCGTGCTTTGGCAAGATCTTCCGAAATTGATTTAATCATTTGATCAGTAGTTTCTTTCAAAACAGTTGCCGTCCTTAGGGCATGATCCAAAGCCGAGTTTAAAATCTACAGAGGAAAACCCACCTATTTTAGTTACATAAACGTAATCACTATTTCTGTTCATTGGGTTCTCTCCTTATTAAACATCGCAAGGTGGAATTTTGAAGTATTCTCTTTTGCACAGTCTGTTTCTGTTTTTGAGGGCTGGTTTCCTAGGAAACCAGTGGAATATATTTGCTAAGGAGAGGGATAGAAAAAAGACCAGCGGGTGACTCAGGAGCGGGAATCAGGGTGGAGGTCGGCAACCTGCTGGGCTATTCCTGGCTGCAGAGAAAGTGACCATGAGAGAAAGGGAAAGCTCATGGGGGTTGGCTGAAGATTTAAGGGCCAGAGTGAGGGTAACTGGGGAATGAAGAGCATGCGTGTGTGCTGTGCGTGTGTTTGAAAGTAGCCTTAAGGTTATAGCAACCCTGTATAGGGTCTCCAAGGAGTAGCTAGTGGGTTTAACATTAACCTTGTGCTTAGCAATCCAGTGCTTGTCCTACAGCGCCACACCAGGACTCCAAGATGAATTGGTGGTGGTGGTGATGTGCCTTGGAGTCGGTTCCGACTACGCATAGCGACCCTGTACAGGGTTTCCGAGGCTGTAAATCTTTAAGGGAGCAGAAAGCCTCATCTTTCTCCCTCGGAGCAACTGGTAGTTTCAAACTGCTGACCTTGAGGTTTGCAGCCCAATTCTTAACCAGTATGCTACCAAGATGAGTTACTGGCTAGCAAATAGAAACCTGCTGGGGCACAGCCCTAACCCACTGTGTCACTGTTTGTGTGAGTTGTGTGAGAACAGAATTGTGAGCACAGCCCAGAACAGAGTCCAGCGCCTTTAAGTCAGAGCCAGAGGAATCCTTTGGCTGAGGGAAAGAACCACGCCAAAACATTTTCTCCAGGAAATTTCCCTGAGAACTAATTTGGGAATAAAAGTCTTAAGGTTGGTGCTGAGCACAAAATTGTTTTTCCGCAGAGCATTTTCCACCCTCTCCCCTACTTCCTCATTCCCACCCCCACTGTAAAAACTTAAAAAGCCAAAAATTTAAAAAATAGCCAAGACCAAACTAATGAACTACAAGACTAGAATTTTTCCCCCCATAAGTCCTCACCTCAAATTCCTTTTTGTCAGCACTCCTAAAGTCACTTAAGGATTTGCTTCCGTAAATCCTTCGGGAATGGGAATAGGCTGAGGGTGTAGCAAGGTCTGAGCTGTAGGTCATGAAAGTCTTAAGCTCTTTTCTGGAAGGCAAAAGCACATTGATACTAGAGAGAGTGGGGCACCCCCTCAAGCTCATTCTCCCTCCTTTCAGGTCAGCTCTGGTTCAGTAATGGCCAGTGTGTGTTAAAGAAAGTGGGGAAGAACATCAAGGCATATCCTCTTAGAATTTCCTTTTCCTTTGGTATGGAGAAAGGCAAGACTCCAAAGAGATGTTTATTCTATGTTTATTATTTTGGGGCCAACCTTCTTACCCTGTATATTTATAAAGCAAGTACACACACACATAAACATCTGTCAATTGCAGGCTCCTAAAGTTTCATTCTAGCACCAGTGAGCTTACATACTAAGGAGGTAGCAGCAGTAGAAAAATCAAAGCAGCATCTCTCCTAGCCTATTTATTCATGATTCTATCACTTAGGGGCGATACTAGGTGAATGAGGGATGCCAAAGACCCTATGGAGAGTTATTCACGTTGTACACTGTACAACTCTGGGAGGGTTCATTAACATCCATCTGAAAGACACTGCCTGGAGTTATACTCTTCACAACCTTAAGGGGGCGCACAAGAGCTTACTTGCCAGCGGATCTGCCATGGAGCCACCCTTACCTGGCTTAAGATCCCCTCTGTAGGTGTTACTTCTTGGGCACACAGAACACTTGTGACTGACAGAATTTCCAGGAAATCTCAGTTCCAAAGCCTGTGACCTCAGAGCCTCCCTTCCACTCTGTCCCCCTAACACATTCACTTTGGTTGGTTCTGCAGATTGACTTGCACAATGGATCTACCCTCCAGTTAGGAAGGACAGCTCAGTAGCAGAGGCACCTACATAAGGAATACCTCCTGGCAGAGTCCTCCATCTCCCTACATCCACATCACTCACCACTATCAACAAGATTTTATCATAGTCATTTCTTACAAACCAATCCAATTCTAACTCAAGGCAACCCTATAGGACAGGGTAGAACTGCCCCAAAGGGTTTCCAAGGCAGTATTGTTAGTGTCGTGGACTGCCAGAGGAACAGACAAATCTGTGTTGGAAGAAGTACAGCCAGAATGTTCCTTAAGAACCCAGGATGGTAAGACTT